ACACGCGTGAACGCGAATTTATCATTCCACGTTGTCGTATCTTTCTTTTTTTTTTTTTTTTCTCTTTTTCACTTCACCTGTTACCGGACTAGATCTGTCGTTTCTCTGTTGGTCTCGTCTGTGGTTCTCCATCCCGACTTCCTTCTTCCGCGTTGCAGTTCCCCTGACCTCTGTCTCGTGGTCGGTCTTCGAAAGACTCTTTTTAGGTCTTCTAGGTAGATTGAGACGGGTGATTTTACAAGTGCTTCGCGATGGTTTTGTTGCTTGGTCGCGAGATAGAGGATTGAAGAGAAAGAGAGAGAGAGAGAAAGATATTTTTATTAATTGACTCTCTTAAGTGGACTTGGTTGGGCTCGTCGCAATTGTAAATTACATGTTGATGCTCTCGTTCGAAGATTTAATGCAATTCTCTGATATTTCCAGTGTGGAACGGATTAAAAATAAGTCGTTTACCAATTTGGCACGAATTAAAAATATACTGCATCTATTAAAATTGAAGTTGAAAGTCCACTTAAGACTTTGACTTTTTAATCGGGCTAGGTTGGATTTAAACCTAGATGTAATTCGTATGTCGATACTGCAATCATTTTTCATAATTAATCAGTCTTAGAATTAGAAAAATCAATTTTTTTAGAGGAAAAATTTATAGAATAAATTCTCTTCTTTTATTTTCTTTAAATTTTCGACAATAGATGTGGTTTTCTATCTTTGGTACTATTAATTATTTTGGTCGATGACAAGCAATTTTTATCTTGATTTTTTAATTAGTTCAATTATTTGCTAAAGTAATTATCAGTTTAATTATTTTATATGTATACATGTTGTATACTTGTGATAACGTGCACAAAATCAATAGTAAATTAAAAAAATCGATTATCGATCAAGTGCATCTAATAAATTATATTCCTCTCTGTTCTCTAAACGAACAATCAAAGTTAATTTTCCGGTTTGGAAAGCATTCTCGACTCCCATTTCTGTTTTCAAAGTCTCTCGATCCCGAATTAAAAAGAAAATTAGAAAAGAAAGCTCGAAGCTTTCAGATTAAAGGCCAATACAAATGTCAAAACATCCTCTTTTAACTTCTGTGAAATCTTCTCAATTTTTCATTCACATTTCCCGAAAATTCCTGAATGAAGATGGTGGATCGTGCAAGCCTTTATCACGCGTTTAAATTCGAATGAAAATAAGTGAGAATTTTTTTTTTTTTGCAACGTCGAAACGGTCGGAATCATCGATCGACGCCGGCAATGACCTAGGCCATTTTTTCCCCCGGTGTTCTCCCCGAAAGGATGAAGTAATCAATGGCTTCCACTCGTAAAAGGTGAAGCACGTTTCCATAAATGTTTTTCACTGCCAGTGGCACGCGCGACGTGTCGTGTAGATCGGCCATTTACGAGACGCACGTATTAGCCTGCTCTGACGGGGCACCATGTACCTATTCACCTGATAACTAGAAAGAAAGTGGACGAAACGGAGTGACTACTTTTCCTACCAGATAGGACATCTTTTTTCTACGTTTTGCATAGTAATTAGTAAACAGCGAATTTTTATGCACAATTGTATTTTTTTGAATTAAAGCATAGCAACTTTGTTCGGTAGAAAATTGTTTCACGTGTTTCGAGGAGGCATTGTAAATATTTTGGATGATTTATACGCTTTTGTATACTTTTGAATTTTCTATAAATGCATAAAAATCCGCAGTAAATTAGTTAATTGTAACTAAGTCGGTTAATTACATGTAGACATATTTGTTTTTATCGATTCTTAAGTGATGTCGTTGGGTCACAGATGATTACAATAATCTCTACCGCGAGAAAGTAGTTTAATTTTATTCAAACGGGATTCAATCGAATCAAAAATTTCAGAAACAAGCATGTACTTTTTACTGCTTCGAATATTCGACGAAGAAATACTTTCGAAGAAATTACTATACTGATACGAGAACAATTTTTGTTCTTTGTTCTTGCATAAAATGTTTACGTAATAAATTACATAAAAGGATTTATTAAGAAATTTTCAAACAAGTTAGCCTAGAATCTTGTTTCTCTACGAGTAAAAAAAACTTTGATTCTATCGAATTCGATAAATAATCCAATATAAGTGGAATTTTATAATATATTGAATAATCTAAAATAAAACAGGATAAATAATAGAAAATAAAATGAAGCCTTTAATGGGAATTCTACATAGAATAGAAAATTTGATTTGCGTTGATTAACAATTAAAAAATTTCTTAATAATAATAATGTAGCTGAATGAGTTGTCGTTGATTTTGAAATCGTCTAGAAAATTCTCAAGATAAGAGAGGAGCGTCTGCTGAAGAATTTGGGGCATTGTGGAATGGATTCTTGGGTCTGGTTTGATGGAAATTTCAACGTCATGCGATCCGTGCATTAGGGAATAGTTCAGGGCAACGTTTACGCCAACCCTCGGGGCTGATTTTCGAGGCCCAGAACGAAAACTGTTGGCTGCGATTCGGTTTCGAGACACGCAAGGCGACGATAATGACCGTTCGAAAGATTGAGTTATTACTTAACTCGTAACATTGTTTCACTCAAAAATTTACATTGCAACATTGTGATCCATTATTTTTGAATTCCATAGAGAATATCGCGAGATATGATAGACAGTAGTAATAATAAACAACAATAATATAAATTTCGTAATTTAATATAATCGTATTGTACAACGATGAGAAAAATCGTTTCCTTGTTTCCATTTCATTTTTGTCGTTCAAACTTCTTAATAACGCGATCGAATTTTAAACAGTCATTGAAATATTTAATTGGATTTAAATGTATTACAGTTTGTAACACAGGATCATGCAAAATTCAATTTTTTTTTTTTTTTTTTGTATTGCATAAATTAAAAGTTAAAACGAAGACGTTTCATTGAGAATCAAAAAAAATTGATATGTTCTTACTTCGCAGTGAACTTGTTATCAAGATTACGAGTGTAATTTGTAATAGCTTTTTGACAGGATCGGTCAGCATCTCAGTGTGCTTTCGAAAAGAAATTTTCGCGAACACACTTCGTTTATTCACATTTTGTTCAATGTACAACGTTGCATGTCGTAATAATTGCAAAGAATTTAATTCGAGGTGGTAAAAACTTTTCGAATCAGTTGAATAAAAACTCGACGAATGTAAATAATTCCACGGGTATACAGAGCTGCAAAACGTAACCTCGGAAACCGACGGGAGCAAAATTAGCAAACGTCGTGAGAAAAAGGACGAACTAGCTGTTCCCGATAGGAACGAAAGTAGAACGCAGAAGCGAGAAAAACGAGAGTCATTAAGATCGAGAAACCAAAAAGGCCAAGGGGAAGGGGGCTGCTCACGAGTTCGAGTGGGGTTTCGTCACGATTTCCGTTTTCAAAACGTGTAACCGGTGCCCGGCCCTCTAATGA